TTTTTTCTTTTTTCTTATGTGGTGCTGAGGAATCAAACCCAGGGCCTCAGGCATGCAAGGCAAGCGCTCTACCACTGAGCCACCTTCCCAGCCCCTCACAGACTTTTCTGCTTGGGCTGGCTTCAAGTTTCGATCCTCAGATCTTAGCCTCCTGAGTAGCTACCTTAAATACCTAGTACGAGCCACTGGCAAATCTTGCATTCTTGCTTAGCTTTTTTTTTTTTCCTCCTCAAGGCTGGCACTTTCACTTCAGTCACTCTTTCACTTCCAGCTTTTTGCTGGTTAATTGGACCTAAGAGTCTGATTTGTCTGCCTAGACTAGCCTTGGACCTTGGACCTTAGCTTCCCAAAAAGCTAGGATAACAAGCACCTGGCTCTTCTCTTTCCCTTCCCTTCTTTTTTGGTGTTGAGATTGAAGTTAAGGCCTTGGAGCTGAGCTAAACTCCCAATCCTCCTTTGGCTCCTAAAGTACCATGGTTGGGATGATGAATTTTATGCTCACGCTAGAAAGCATTGAAGGTATGCTTTCCAAAAGGTTAATGGTGGCAGGTTGTGGCTAGTGTAACAGAAGGTGGTGGCTTTGAGAAATAAAGTCTGTCTGCATTTGAGATGATGTAGGGTAATTTTGAAGTCACTTGGAGAAAGATATACTTGTTGGGGAAAAGTGTCAAGATTACACTGGAAGCCAGTGCTGGTTGCTCACACTACTCAGGTGGCTGATATCTGAAGATCTTGGTAGTTCCCAGTCAACTCTGGTAGACAAATCTGTGAGGCTTTTACCTCCAGTTAGCCAGCAAAAAGCACTAGAGGCATGGCTCAAGTGGTGGAGCACCCGTTGTGAACAAAAAAGCCAAGCAAGAACATGAGGCCCTGAGTTCAAGCCCTAGTACTGGCATTGAATAAATAAGTAAATAAATAAAATAAAAAGTTTTCAACTGGGGAGAGGCTGTCACAGTGCTCTGCAGAGCCCAACTTGGACAATTGGTGGCAGCAGAGGGTTGTTTATATAGGCTACTGACACAATTTGGTCTGAAGATGGAGTCCTCCAAGAATTTGTATCTCATTTATGTTGATCATATGATTTACTAAATGAAAAGAATAAAACAATGTACAACATTAAGGAAATAACCAACTTATGCCTTTTCTGGATACTAGATGTCATTGTATTTTCTACTAAGGACCCTCTAAACACCCCCTTGCTTTCCTGGGAGGAGTGCTGCTTCCTTAGTCTGTCCCCTTCTGCACTGAGCGCTGACATTCCACATCTGGAAGCCAGGAGAGAAGCTTTACCTCATTGAAGGAACTATATGATAACTGTCTGTAGCTTACACTTGGCTTAGTACTAGATTTACTTCACACTTCATTCCTTGTAGAGCAGAGCCTTATCCTAGCTCTAAATATCCAAATCCCAAAGATTACTGTTTTTTTAATGTTTTTTTTTCTTTTTTTTTTTTGTCAGTCATAGGGCTGGGTGCTGTTCCTCAGCTCTTCAACTCAGGGCTACCACTTGAGCCACAGAGCCACTTTTTTCTGCTTATGTGGTGCTGAGGAATTAAACCCACAGCCTCATACATGCAAGGCAAGCACTCTTACCACTGAGCTCCCTTCCCAGCCCCCAAAGATTACTGTTTAAAAAAAATTTTGGCTCCATGCAGAGAAGGCCAATACCCAGTGTTGTTATGTGTGCCATAATTCACCCCTCATTTTGGTATTTCAGCTGGAAAGAGATGTGGCTGCAAGATTATTGGCAAGGTCTGGACCAGGGAGAAGCTCTCACTGCCATGATCTACAACAATGAGACACAGCAGAGGAAGTTTTGGGATTACTTACATGAGATCTTCATAAAAAGGAACCAAAATCACTAATGGCTCTTGGAACTTGCAAATGGCTTAACTCAGAAGACCTAAGATTTTATTCTATCATGGCACATAAGGAATAGCCACTGCAGAAGCCCTTGGTATTGTCTTATTATGGATTCAGTTGTAATTTTTTTCTTGACTTGGGTGTTTTGAGGATGTTAGGTTTTTAATCACTGAACTGCTCTATTATATCATAGAGATATAGCTAAGGTCTCTACCTTGCTAACAGGAGAGTGGAGGCATGTCATTCTTGGTTCCGTGGGAATCAGAAGCCTGAAACACTTATTTGATTCAATGTGCTGGCTCAGTAGGATTTTTAAAGGACTTAAAAATAGCACTTTTCTGGTTTATTGCATCCTTTCCCATTTGTGGGACAGATGGGCCACATTCTGACTTGACTTCTGTTACTCTAACTCTTCATTCTTCAGCACTTTTCATAGTCATTTCTTTCCCTATGTTTTGCTTCATAAACTTAACATTGATGAGGAAGCAAAACTTCTGATGGGCTTTATTCTAGTTTGTACGGTTTTTTTAATTTAAAATTAATTTGTTAATTTTCTTGAGATGGGAGGAGTAGTTTTCACTATGTTGTTGCCCAGGCTGGCCTCCAACTCCTGGGTTCACGTGATCTTCCTGCCTCAACCTTCAAATAGCTGGCTACACATGCACGTCTAAGTCTTGAAGTTAGTTTTTTTTTTTTCTTTTCTTTTCTGGTTCTGGGGATTGAACCCTAGACTTCAAGCTTGCTAGATGGTCTACCACTTGAGTTATACCTCCAGTCCTAAATTTTCTTTTTGGGCTGGTCTTGGGGCTTGAACTCAGGGTTAGGTGTTGTCTTTTGCTCGAGGCTAGTGCTCTATCACTTGAGCCACCGCTGCACTTCCAGCTTTTTTTGGTAGTTAATTGGAGATAAGAGTCTTGCAGGCTTTCCTACCCAGACTGGCTTCAAACTTATCCTCAGATCTCAGCCTTCTGAGCCACCAGCTCCTGGCTTCTAAATTTTATTTTTAATTAAGATTTTTTGTTGTTGTTACATTAGTAGCCCAAGAGGGGGTTTCATTGTGCCATTTTCATATGTGCATACAATGTACCTTGTCAACTTCATCCCCTCTATCACTCCCCTTAAAATAGTTTGTTTCTATTTAATTTCATTATTCTACTTTCACATATGCATGTAAACCATAGCATGGTTATTTATCCTTTCATTCGCCCATCCCCTCCCATTGATACCTGCCTCCCAATAAGACTTTTACTTTCTTGTGATTCATTTTTTATTAATTTTAGTTTTATATATTAATTATGCTAAGAGGTTTCACCATCTTGAATGTGCATATAGTGTATTTTAATCAGAATAACCTTATTTTTGTTTCCCCATCTTCTAATGGGACTTTTATTATTTACGTTTCACGTCAAACTTTTTTTTCTTTTTTCAGTTGTGGGGCCCGAACGTTGGGCCTGGGCGCTGTCCCTCAGCTCTTCAGCTCAAGGCTAGTACTCTACCACTTAAGCCACAGCGCCACTTCTGGCTTTTTCTGTTTATGTGGTGCTGAGGAATTGAACCCATGGCCTCATGCATGCAAGGCAAGCACTCTACCACTCAGCCACCTTCCCAGCCCCACGTTAAACTTTATTATTATTATTATTGTTGGTTGTGGGGCTTGAACTCAGGGCCTGGGCGCTATCCCTGAACTTTTGCGCTCAAGGCTAGTGCTGTATCACTAAGGCTAAGTTTTGAACCATCATCCTCAGATCTTAGCCTCCTGCGTAGCTAGGATTACAGGTATGAGCTAATGGTGCTGAGCTTTACAATTTTTTTTTTTTTTTGGTCATTCATGGTGCTTGAACTCAAGGTTTGGGCACTGTCCCTGAGCTTTTCATTTAAGGCTATAATCTTTTTATTTTAAATAGCTTTTTCTTTCTGGTTTTAGGCCCTTTCTCACAATTTCAGATGGAAATACATAAACCTTCTCATCATTCTCTTTTTTTTTTTGGCCAGTTGTGGAGCTTGAACTCTGGGCATGGGCACTGCCCCTGTACTCTTCAGCTCAAGGTGAGTGCTCTACCGCTTGAGCCACAGTGCCACTTCCAGTTTTCTTATGGTTTATTGGAGGTAAGAGTCTCATGGACTTTCCTGCCTGGGCTGGCTTTGAATCTCGATCCTCAGATCTCAGCCCCTTGAGTAGCTAGGATTACAGGTGTGAGCCACCGGCGCCTGCTCTTATCATCATTCTTAATGCTGGCTTGCTTCTTACTGGTGTATTCCTTCTTACTGGAATTCCTTCTCATCTCATGAACAGATTCAGTGGCTAATAGATCAGTTTATACATCATGTCAGTTTAGTGCACTGATCTGTTCTATTTTAGATCAAACATGGACACTAAGGTTAGAAATGATGGCAGAAAACATCAGTGAATGTAATCCAACTTTATTCAATCTATGATTGATGTTCTTCCATACTGTTGTTTTTGTTTTGTCAGTCATGGGGCTTCAACTCTGGGCCTGGGCATTTTCCCTGAGCTCTTCAGCTCAAGGCTAGTGCTCTCCCACTTGAGTTACGGCGCCACTTTTGGTTTTCTGGTGGTTCATTGGAGATAAGAGTCTCAAGGACTTTCCTGCCTGGGCTGGCTTTGAACTGCTATCCTCAGATCTCAGCCTCCTGAGTAGCTAGGATGACAGGTGTGAGCCACCAGTGCCTGGCTTCCATACAGTTTTATAATAGAGTTTTGTTGTTCTGGTACTGGGGTTTGTACTCAAGGCCTTGCACCTTGCTTGCCTTTTTCACTCAAGAATGATGCTCTGCCATCTCCATGTCCAGTAGCATCTCTTTTTGATGGAGTCTACCAGGGCCCTGGACTGTGAGGCAAGAGATTTAAGAAGCCATAAATAGTTGTCTAAATAAAGACCTTAGTCAGATTTGGGGATACAGTCAAAAGTGCCTATAGCTGTGATTTGAGATTTGAACAGAGCCCAATGAGTAAAGCAATCGTGGGTTTTTGTTGTTTTTTTTTTTTGGTTGGTTGTGGGGCCTGAACTCTGGGCCTGGGTGCTGTGCCTCGGCTCTTCAGCTCAAGGCTAGCACTCTACTACTTGAGCCACAGCGCCACTTCTGACTTTTTCTGCTTATGTGGTGCTGGGGAATGGAACCCAGGGCCTCATGTATGCAAAGCAAGCACTTTACCACTGAGCCACCTTCCCAGCCCAATCATGACGCTTTTTAAGGGCAGTGGAAAAAGAAAGAATACCTTGAACCTTAAGGCTATTCTAGTATATTAGTGAATTCTCTCTAGAAAAGTCCCATATGAGTACATGATTGGAATCAAACCCAGAGCCTCATACATGCTAAGCATTCATTCTTTCTCTGAGGTATATCCCCAATCCTTAGTGTTTTTTTCCTTTAATAAAAAGATATCCTTCATAATAGCATGGAAGGTTTGCTTAACCTACTCAGTCTTTTGCAAAAAGAAGGAACAAAACAGACCTTCAAAAATACATCTGAAGCCGGGCGCTGGGTGGCTCACGCCTGTAATCCTAGCTACTCAGGAGGCTGAGATCTGAGGACCACGGTTCAAAGCCAGCCAGGGCAGGAAAGTTCGTGAGACTATCTCCAATAAACTACTAGAAAATCAGAAGTGGTGCTGTGGCTCAAGCGGTAGAGCACTAGCCTTGAGCTGAAGAGCTGAGGGACAGTGCCCAAGCCCAGGATTCAAGCCCCACAACTGACAAAAAAAAAAAAAAAAAAATTGAGGCAGGAGGACCATGAGTTTGAGGCCAGCTTGGGCTGTGGTAGCAAAGTAGTGGCTCATACTTGTAATCCTAGCTACTAGGAGGCTGAGATCAGGAAGATCATGTTTTAAGGCCAACCAGGATAACTAATTGATGAGACACCTCCCACCCCCATTCCAATTCCCAGTTAAATGGGAAGTCTAAATGGGAGGATCATGGTCCAAGCATGCTAGAGGCTATCTGGAGGTTGGGGAAGCAAGATCTGGGAGTGTGTCTCAAGTGGTACTCAAGTCCCTGAGTTCAAACCCTAGACACCTTCAAAAGAAGTCAGACACAGGCTCTGAATTCTGAGCTTGCACTCTTTCAGTGCAGATATTGACTGATAGTACAAAATACATATTGCACAACTGTAAGCCTAGATTTGGGACTCAGATTTTATTATATACAATAAAAAGGGTAAATGATAGTTATGAAAGATATAGAACCATCCTTTTATCATCCTTATTCTCATCTTGTCTAATTATACTAGCTCACTACTAGTGTTTCTTTAGCACTTTTTAAAAAAAATTTTTTTGGGGGGTCTGGTCCTGGGGCCTGACTCTGGGACTGGGCGCTATCCCTCAGCTCTTCAGCTCAAGCAGCACCACTTCCGGCTTTTTTCTTTTTGCTTATGTGGTGCTGAAGAATCGAACCTAGGGCCTCATGCATGCAAGGCAAGCACTCTACCACTGAGCCGTCTTCCCAGCCCCTCTTTAGCACTTTTATGTACAAAGTGGGCCAATTTCTGAATGATTGTTCCTGAAACTGACTTCTCCTTTTCCCTATCACTCTATCAGTATTCACAAAAGAACAGGGCAAATCAGGTGCTATATTTCTGAATGGGAAAGAACTAGAATTAGTCACATGATACTTACCAATTAAAAGCTTCATTTCTCTATGAGAAAAGCAAGCAATGTGCATTTTCTCTGGTTTGGAGCTCAGCCTGCACTGTGTACAGCAGTGTTGTGATTACTGGTGGTAAAGTGTCTGATACAGTCTATTTATGCTGCTGGAATGGGAGGGTGGAGCAAAAGACTGATGATGCCTTTATGACGCCAAATATTGCTATCTCAGGTGTTATTTTCTATAATAAATTGCTTTTTACTTAGTTTCTGGTGTTTTGTTTTTTTTTTTTAAGATAAAATCAAAGACTTGTTGCCAGGTGCTGGTGACTCACACCTGTAATCCTAGCTACTTAGGAGGCTGAGATCTGAGGATCACGGTTCAAAGCCAGCCGGGGCAGGAAAGGCAATGAAACTCTTATCTCCAATTAACCACTCAGAAAACTGGAAGTGGTGCTGTGGCTCCAGTGCTAGAGTGCTAGCTTTGAGCTGAAGAGCTGAGGGACAGCACCTAGGCCCAGAGTTCAAGCCCCATGACCGGAAAAAAAAAAGAATTGTGTAAAAAAAGACATTTGTTTACTTAATGAATATTTATTGGTACTATTCAAGGCATTGGAGATTGAGCAACCAACAAGATTCCCAAGATCCCTTCTCTTACAGTACCTTATAATTAAAAGTGGGTATTGGCCTGACTAAGGCCATAAGCAGAAAAAATTCAGGTGCTCTGAACAAACAGAACAAGTTGATGATAGTTTGAAAAGTCAGGGAAGACCTTTCTTACATATACGGACAGACTGAGGAAGAAAAACAACTATGCAATTATTGGTGGGAAGGTTCCAAATATCTATGATAAATTACTTTTAACACTAAGTATACATATCCAAGTAAATATTGCTCCTCCAGTGTCGTCATGAGCTGCATGCTTGAGTTATGCTTCCATTACCACAAATAGTTCTTGAAGCTCATCTGGATATGCCTTCAGAGTTCTGGCACATCTTTGGACTGACTTTTGTAAACAGTCCCAAATTAACTAAGTCTGATGAAGCACCTGATTGGAAGTCCAACTCTTATTATAAATAGGAATGATACTACAAAGTAGATTCACAAGG